TTTGTTAGATGCAAGATACTGCTTTCTCCTTATGTGGAAATTCTTCCTGCCTCTTCTGCCTCCCTCTCCCAAGACCAGTTGTGGGAGAGCAACCAAGAAAGAACTAGAACAGTCCTAGGATAAGCTTTCATTATCAACTAAGATACTAAGTTTAAAAAAGTTCAGCTGAAATGAGCTTCTAGAAGCTGAGTTGGGAGTTTAATCCACAAGTTTCTTCCACACTATGTGGTAAGGGAAGAGGTCTTGAGGTTTTTTAGTGTTAACTTTTCCACTTCAAATTCAGACCTTTTTAAGCTTGGTTCAGTTTGATTTCAGTAGTTAAACCACCAGAATACATGTTTAATGTCCTGTTTTGAGGTAAAACAGAACCAATTTTCTGTTCAGTAATTTTACTTTGCAGTTAAGCCTCTTCTAACTAGCTGAAACTCTCTGAAATTAACAGTGTATCGTGGAGACACTGTCCGTTCTCAGAGTGTTAAGACCTATGTTTATAGTTGATGCCAAGGAATGGTATGCAGAGAGGCTCTTGCTTATACTTATTGCTATAACACCCAAGGCCAGTTAACTTTGTTATTTGCCCCATTGGAGGGTCAGAAGCAGAAAAGCATAGAGGGGTCACACCTGCAAGGACAAGGACAGGATAGGTGACCCAAAACTGACAAACAGCGTATTCCATCCCATGTGCATCATGCTCAGTATAAAAGCTGAGGCATCAAAGGGTTAGCTCTATTCCTTTAGTGGCAGGCGTCTTAGGGACTCTGTCTGTTTGTCTGCCTTTGATCCCAAGCCCTGTATTCTTGAATCCAGACCTGGAATCAAGTTCCTGTCTGTTGTTGAGTCCAGTCTGGGACTTTCCCAGGGTCTGCTGGTGATGTGATCATCATCCTGGGAGCTTGTTACTGGTTTTGTATATATTGTATACATTTGATGATTTAATTTTATTTTTTTATTATTAATTTTTTAATTAAAGTAGTTTAATTTCCTTCTGAACTTGTAAGTCTCTTTCTCTCCCTCCCCCCTCTCCTTGGAGAGGGAGGTGAGGGAGAGCATCTGTCATTCGTCTCAGTGGCCAGTCCGGCTCAAACCACCACAGTTTGAGACTGATGTAAAAAAGGAAGCATGAACTTGAGTTTGGTTAAGTTCTTTTAAGAGATATCTATATAAAATTTATTATTCATCAAAGTGGAGTTTCATAGTGTGTTCCTGGTCTGAATTCAGGTACAATACAAGTCAGTTCTTAGAAGTTGAATGATGCACACTGTCCCAGGAGCTCACCTGAGCTTCCTCCTTAAGCACAAAAACCCAAACAAACAAAACCACCCCAAAACAAAACCCGTTGTTTTCCTGGTATCCTGTTGTTAAGTAGACTTTATAGCACTGAAGAATTGCTTAACCAGGCAAAGGACATCTTAGAGACAAAATGGAACATGAGAAGTAGCACAAGATCTGTAAATACATTTCTTTGAGTTCTTCTCTGATAATAGAGATTAGTTTTTCCCATTTCTGTTGTGGCACTTGATCTACAGGAGAAACTTGACTTACGCTTTTTGCACTTCTTAAAGATGTATGAAACACACACTTAAAGGCTTTTTGGAGGAGGCTGGCTGCTGTCAGAAGTCTGGGTTGTCCCACACCTCTCTACCCTCCCTGTGGCAAAACATTAACTCAAAATCCAGGGATTTCAAGAGGTTTAAGAGTTTAAAGGGTGTGAGAGTGATTTCAGAAGTCCAGCATTTGCTCCTAGGGGGCTAATATAGTACTTGAATGGAAGGTACTGACTCTCAAACACTAGCTAATGATAATTTTCTTCACTGCTAGAAAAAATGGGACATTGTTTTGAGAAGTGACATTTCAGGTTAAGGATTTCTAATACAAACTAGGTGGTTGTTCTTTGACTCCAGCTTCACAGTCACAGACATGATGGAAGCTTACTAGATGAAACTAGTAAAGATATCTGCCATATTAGTTTGGCAAAGCAATGGGTTGCCCTATATTCTGCTTCTACAGAGAAAGTGGTCATCAAAATGTTGTTTGAATGACTGTGGCCACTTTATGGTTGTTGCTCTATATTTCTACACTTAAAGAATTAGTTGTCAGTGCCTATGTTGTCCCTGCAACCCCCGTTTTATCCCAGGAACAGGGAGTCGTAGAGCAATGGAGTCATATTCCCCCTTCCCTACAAAGGGTGAAAATGGGGGAGGAGTTCATTAGTTCTCAGTTTGGCAGCTGTGATTATGTGTTTGCATTAATTTCTCATAAAGCTGCATTGCTGCCAGAAAACATTCCCCTGCCATTGCACAGCTAGGCGTTTTTCACTGCTTCCCTTTCGGGTGCTGAGTAACTTGTACAGTGATACTGCGTATGGGGTCATCTGGCTGAAAACTACTCCGCCCATAAACAAAAATTGTTCGCTGAAATCAGTTTACTGACCAGGACTGGCAGGGGATCATGTATGCTGGCGTGTGCTGGGTGGCCAAGAATGTTCTGGGAGTCCCGCCTTTCAGCTGGGCTGCATGATACACACTAGTTTAAAACATCTGTGAAGTTACGGGCTAGGATGGGTGTTCAGGAGACAGTGCTCGTCCCGCTGTTCACAGCAGAAGTGCCATTGGCAATGCTTGGCTTCTCAGCTGCGCCACACAGAGGGAGGCAGAACATTTCAGGGATGATCTGCTCTTTCGGTGTTTTCAAACTAATACGATAGTGTACCTGCCGTTTTTTCTTCCATGGGTGGAACTTTAGGGCAAAGAAACAGTTGTTCTTCATACAAGGCTCTCAGTCTCTGCCTGTGAAGATGGTGCCTGTCAAGTCTTTGTACTAATCTGACCCAGATGAATAAATAAAATCTATTGTCAGTAAGTACTTGCTTTAATAAGTAATTATCAAAGAGAAAAGCTAGCCATTCTGCTAGTATGCTTTTCATTAGACAAGCACATTATTTATAGATAGTATAGTTTACATGGAGACATCTTAGAGATCCTGAAGCCAGACAATAAGAAGTCAGCTTTACAGCAGGGATTCGTCTTCTAGATGTAACTTTTAGTATGTAAAGAGAGGCTTATTTTTGCTCCTTAATGTTTTTTTCAGATTTGGTTAGAAGTCCATTAAAGTACTTCAGGAGTTACAGTCACCAAAGTTAAACCCTTCGTAGTTCGATTGCAAACAATCTTTCTTCTAAAGACAGAATTTCAAACCTAGACAAAAATATCTTTTTTGGTACAGCTTTTTGGCTTTTCTTGAATAGATATTGATAAATTTACAGCGGACACAGTCAGTGTACCGTGCCTTCTTTTGGCAGAGCTCTAGAGAAAAGGAGGGAGTTGCTAGTTTTGATTACTTCCACAGGAATTTGAAAGAAACAGAAGAGCCAAGAAACCAGAGAACGCATATTAGTTTCCCTCCTAATCAGTTGAACTGCTTTTCAAGCGAGTAGTAGTAGAACCAAGAAGTGCTTTAACCTGAGAAGAGTTTTTACATTACTATCTTGCTGAAATGTTCCCTATGGGAAACAGGGTGTTACAGATTGAGAGCTGAAGGTACGGATTTCAGTGTTCACTGGTAAGTATTGCTCTGTTGGAATTAGCATGAACATGTCACATAGGTGGAAAGTACACATTGTTTTGTTAACAGCATAGTTACGGTGCTCATTATGTAATGCTAAAAAGATTTGTTTACATAAACATAGACTGTGTCTAAATATTGTTACAATTGCAACACAAACCACCAAAATGCCTTTTAAGTGTAGACTATTTTTAGTGGCAGTCCAAGCCATGAAGATGAGAATATAGAAAGAACAAGCTAGTGATCAGACAGAAATCTCAGCGTCTTGAAATCTATGACTTTTCTGAATTCCTTTAGTCTTTTAAAATCAATTGCCACCTCAGAAATTTGGAATATAATTGCAGGGATACTCTGATAATTCATATCAAGAAATGAGAGAAATGTAGGGGACATCCTGGAATAGCAGTCTTTCAGGGTGACTTGGCCATACCCCTTGGTTACACCATGGGCCTGGGGCTGGACTGCAGGCACAAGCAGTGTTTTCCTCGCCTCCATAGAAAAGCTAATTTAATTTGGTTCTCTTGTCAAGCCTGCAGTAGGAGGGAAAATGGTGATGGCTAAATGTTACTATTAATAAAGCATGAAGTTTTTGTTCTCCCAGTACTTAATTTGCAGCGTTCCAGGAATGCAAATGCCGAAGTTTCACAGCGAGACTGACAAAATGCCTTATTCAGTTACGTTTCTCGAATAATCTTGGAGGAGTATTCAGATGTTACAGCAATCAATGGGTGACACAGACGCAGGTAGAAAACCATTACCTACAGAACAAAGATGAATAAGTATAGAACTTAGAAACATTTGCGGGTTTGATTTGAACTTTTACACAGTTACAACAAATGGAGTGCAGAGGGACCTGAGCAATCCACGGTGGAGAACTAACACGAATTTTTCTTATGTAGTAGCCATGGTTGAAGAGGATCTTATCTGTCAGAAAATATCCGATCTCGATGTCAGTTTCTACTGAGAGAATCCACTTTAATTTATAGTAAATTTCTACTGTGATGGTTGCTTATGTACTGCGTATTGGGTAGGAGGCAGGGGTGTGGAGGGTGGAAGAGGAGGGAGAATAGGTGGTGGTGCAATTTCTGCCTCTGTTAGTGGACAATGTGACCTGTAGGGCAAATATCTCTGTACAGATGTGAGTGGGTCCTCAGTAACTGCCTGGGTGCAAGCTCTAATTTGAGCTGTGGGCTGAGCACCTTGATCCAGATGATTGCTTGACGGGTGTTTTGTTGTAACGTGGTGGTGTCAATTCCTGGTTGTTCTGCTCTGTAGTTCTCAGCAGCCTGTCAGAAATCTGTGCCGTGCATGGACCTGTGCTTCCAGCCTAGGATGCAGGAAGGGCTCTGAGTCAGATGGGATACATGTGCAGTGGAGGAGCGCCAGGGTAGATTTTTGGAGCGGGGTCATGTGGGAAGAGAGTAAGGGGTAGTGAAAGCATGGCCCAAGGTCCTGGTCTGTGGCATGAAGGTAACGAGCACATGCTTAGGTCAGGGTCCCAGGTGGAGGTGCGGGAGAGAGGGGAAATGCTGGGTTTTGGGAGGTGGAGCTGTGTGCTGCATTAGTAGTGGGAGAGATGGGCTGGAGATCCTACTCCAGAGAAACAATAAGGAGATAAGGGTGCAGGATGGTGTGTGGATTAGTTAGAGTGCAATTAAGGAATGAGGAAGGTGAAGTTGGTCTGTGATGCTTAGGTTCTTTTTTGCTTGTGAGGTGGGCAGAAATTGTAGTAGGTATCTTCTCTGTTAAATATTGTGCTGTTAAATATTAATACTTAAGATCTGTACATGAAGCTTATGCAAATATACTTAAAGAAAGGGAAAAATAGCATAAAATAACAGAAATATAACCTATTTGTAAAGTAATGCAAATATAATTAAATAAAAATAGTAAAGAAAAAAAGATTAATTTAAGGAAAATACAATTAAAAGATTAATTAAAGAAAAAAGAAAACACTGTAGATGCACTTCACCTGCACACGTTCAAGTCCCCGTCACAGAGCTGAGAGTTGCTCCTGCTGTTTTAAGTACTGGTGGGTGCTCCAGCAACTGTGGCAACACGTGTAACAAACTGAAGAGCCTGATGTTATTAACTTTTTTTTTCAGCGTGAGTACAAGGCTGATCAAATTAATTCTAAACTGTCTCTTTGATAAAATGCATAGTTTGAATCCCTGCATTCCGTAGTATAAGGCCTCTTTTGTCATCCTTTAATCATATTTACAGATCTTCCCTGAGCTTTCTTCATGTTGTCACTGTGCTTCTTGGAGGCTCTATGTAAGTACTAGACACAGCATTTGAATAGTGATTGCATTTGTGTCAAGTACAAAAATAAAATCTCCCTGCTCCTCCTTGATGTTGCTGTTTATGTATCAGCCGTAACCAGTCTTCTGCTGAAAGCTTCTGTTCAACCAGTTATTACCTGACATATATCCCCAGTTTTTTTATCAAAGTTCAGCATCCCTGAAGTGTGTGCTCTGTAGTGTGCGTATGGCATGCTGCCTTTGTTCCTGGGTATGCGTTTACTTTTTATTCTATTGAAGTGCACATCACTGATCCCCTTTTTACAATGCAGACTCTTCTGTGTTAGTAGCATGTCATCTCCATCATTTGTCAATCTGCTAACCTTTGTTTTTACCTGCAAATTTTATCAGTATACATTATACATCTGGGTAATTTTTCATATATATGTGTGTGTGTGTATATGTATGTATAAAGTCAAATTGCATAAGGCCAATGCCAGAACCTTGTGAGGCCCACTAGAAGTCTCATATAACAAATTAACTATCCAGTAGCCCTGTTCCCTTACTTGTGGTGAAAGGTGTTGAATGGGCAGTGTACTACTGAATTGTTTCATTTCACACCTGTCATTTGAAATCAAAGAGATAGTGATAGATGTTTACATTAAAATATCACACTGGAAACTCTGGGATCTGAAAACGGGGACACTGGTTGCTTTTCCAGTTCCCCTGTGAAATGGAGGGTAGGGTGGCACGGTGGACAGGTAACCTTCAATTCCCACAGCTAAACCTAGCACAATTTGTGAACCCAAATCAACGACACTTACTGATCATTTATATTAAAAAATACATTTTAGAACCTGTCTTTCTTTTTTTTATTCCATTTAAATACGCTAGAATGATTTTGTATCTAGTTTCTCAGTCAAAGTGCTTGGTGATAGGCTGTATATCTATGGGTAGCGTCATTATTGCTGTCTTTATCAGAAGAAATCCTTGCGGGCTCATCAAAAGTGTCTGAAAAGATGCATTAAATCCTTGTTGACTGTAATAAATGCAATACTCTTCTCCATTTAATAATTCAGTAATCAAATCTTGTATTAATTGTTTTGCTTGGTGCTGGTTTGTAGCTGACAAGCCTCTGATTACCCAGCTTATCCTGTTGAAATATTGGAACAACTTTATTTTACCTTTTTGGAATTTCTGGAGTGTTCCAAGAATTATAGCAAATTTATACTAAAGGTCATATGCAGTACTGAGGTGGATAATCCCTAGGGTGGTATTATATTAAGACTTGCAATGTACACAGATCAATTCAGCGGGGAGAAAGTTGTCCGTCTTGTAAGACAGATGTAAAACTGCAGATATGAATAATACTTTTTGTTAAATCAGATCCTTTGTTTATATTGAAAACCTAAAGAAATCAAACAGAAATTCATAATTTAGAAATGTTGTTGTGTTGGTACAGTAATTTGAATGTGTAATTTTTTTATTACACTTCATCCTCAATTCAACTTTAGGTCTTTTGTGTAAATTATCATTAATAAATGGCTAGCTCACATGCATAGATTGAGTATTTGTGTATCTTGGCTACTGCTTAAGACAGATCTGTTGGGTCTCCGAAATTCTGTTTGGAGAATGCGGTATCAGTAATGGAATAGCTGGCTGGTGTAACTGTGTCAGCAGGAGTTTCCACAGATGTTTAAGCTTCTTCTGTAAATAATATTTGCATACTTTGAGTGTTGTTTGCCAATAAGCGTTTGTTTCTTCCTGCAAACTGGTGTATCTGAACACAAGTATTGCTATTTGTTTCTGATATTGCTATTTTTACAAGGAAGTTAAAAGATGCTAATCTGATAACATATGTTAACTGGGGTTTGACATGAGTTCTCACTCACAAATGGTTTCAAAAGAAAGACTATTTATTATGGCCACTTTCCCTTTCCTACCATCTGACTGCAATTCCTTCCCTCTACACTTTCAGTTGGCAAGTAACTATACAAACAGCTACTATATCTATTATTCATCACAGAAGAAAGGGAACAAAAGAACAAAAAGTGGGAGGTGGGGAGAGAGTTTTCCCAGGCAGTTCTGCTACTGGTGAAATGGAGTCTTTCAGTCAGCTCCACAGCTGCGTTCTGTCTCCTGTAATCATTTGCTCCTTGCCATGTTTAAACCTTCTTGCACCTTCAGTTGCACTGATCCAGCTGTTTTCCAGCTGTGTTCTGGCTGTGTGGGATGAAGACAACCATTTTTACTGATTATTTTTCCAAAATTGATTATTGGTTATGCCTGCAAAGCAAGGCGATCGGCCCCACGTGTCTTTATATAAGCAAAGCTGTGCTCTTCATTATATTAATTTCCCTGTTTTGGCCAAAGTATGCTATGCCAGTGAAAGTAACTTTAGGTATGTCTTTCTTTGTATATGAGGTTTTGCCAGTGCAAATATATTTATGAGAGAATGCTCATCTTTATTGTCAGTATAATTATGTCAGCAGAATTGTCTGCAGAGTTTTAAGCATTTGGTGTAAACTTCTTTGGAAAAATTAGTGTCAAAAAGGTGACTGTCAGAAAGATTACTATATGTTTACATATTCAAATCAAACACCACCATTTTTTTTTTTTAACCCGAGGTTCCTAAGCTCTGACAAAAATGAAAACCTGGTTTAGAAGGCATCTGATCCCATCTGATACTTGGTTTGTGGGAGTCCGTTGATCTGACTAATTTTTTTTTTTTGCATTTGTTTTATTCTGAAAAGCTTTTTTGTTAAGCTCTGCTGATGGCAATAATGGAACAGTTAACTGGACGACTAAGCAAGCCCACAGTTATATTATCAGCAGAATAAAGGCTGTTGAGAAGAATGGTGAGTTTAGGTTGTAACTTTAAATCCCATGTTGGTTCAGTCAAATCTGCTTTTAATATTACTCTTGCTTTTTCAGTCATGTCCTTGTTTTAGGAATTAGGTGCTATTTCGAGGTAAGTAATTTGGAAAATTTTACATTTCTTCAGTCTTTTAAACGTTCACAGACTTGCGTGTCTTTGAATCTTCCCCAACTTTTCCTGTTCCTGTAGCTTTGCTTGAAATAACGGCTGTGTGTATACCTAATATTGCACATTTTCTTATCATGGCTGGTTGCTTGGAGATACCTCTGCAATTTGCTTAATACAATAACTTGTCTGTAACATTTTTAAAAAAATCTTTTTATATATGTATGCAAAAAGACTATTTTATTGTAATTTATGCAAGCACACATAGAATATTCATCTGCTAAAAGTCAATGGGGAGAGAACCAACCCACTGAAATTCCCAGAAAAAAATTCCAGATGCATTTTTTTCTGAAGATTATCAACATAGAGCCTTCAACCAACATGGTAAATCTTCTGAAATTTCTGGAGATGGAGTCATCTGTATCTGATAACAAGCTCTGGGCTGGAGGCTGATGTAATCCTAGCTGAATTCCTGGCTGTGTCCATGTTCAAGACCCCCAAGCACAACTACTGCTACAGTTTCTGTACGTTTCAAAAAGAGCGATGCCTGTCTTCCATCCTTTAGTTCCCAATTAGTCTACTTCTTTCCCAATCTCCAGGGCTTCTAACCTTTCTGCACAGATATATCTTGGGATCTACAGACAGTCCTCCAATGGATCTGGAAACAAGAAAAAGGAAAACAGTGCTGTCGAGGTAGCTGATACTCTCTTTTTTTCTAGCAGGGATCTGTTGTGATCCTGTGTAGTGAAGATGTTTAATTTCCCATGATTACCTTTACAGAAGCCTTTCACAGTCCCCAAGATTTTTATCTACCACAGGGAATTTGCCCAGGCAATTCACATCTGGCAGTCTACTTTATTAGACTAGTAGCTAGAAGAGTTGGTAAGTATATTCAGTTTTATCCCTAGATCACCTAAGATTATGACACATTCATCTCCAGTCTCAGGCAGTCTTGTGGAAATAAGTTTGGGTTTTAAAAGCTTCTGAAGAAAAGAGCATTTCACTTGTTTCGTTATTGAAAAGCAGTGATTGCTGTAGTGGGCTGAAGACTCATCATTTTCCTTCTGACTTCGAAGGAACTTGATAGAAGAAAAAGAAGACAGCTTCTCTGATAAGGAAGGCGAGAACTTTCAAATTCTTTATCTCCATACTTGTGTCATTACAATGCGCTTGTCGTTAAGGATAAAATAGGTGTGTGGGTTTTTTCCTTCCGAGAGGCGTTTGTAGACTTCCACCAGGATCACTGTTTTATATCTGCATGAAATCCTCATTGGTATGCTTCCTTCAGCAACACAGAACATCTTATTACTAGGAATGGGCAGGCATTTAGTGGCGGCAATGGATTTCCTCTAAGAGACAAAAGAAATATATGGTTTTTTCCCAGTAACTGCTGATTCTATTGTCCTTCTTCCTTTCTAAAACTATTGCTTACGTGGAAATATATACTTCAGTTTTTCGCTGTTCTTCCTGATTGAAATGGATTTTCATTGTAGAGTCAAAGCATCAGAAATGGAGAAAATGGATTTTTTTCTAGGTATATCACACATTTTCAGCCACTGACCATATTTTTGTCAGCTTTTCTGCTCTTAATGTTATAAATTACTTTTTCTGCTTTTCTTGAAAGTATTTTAAAGGAAATGAATTAGTTTCCTTGCCCTATTTACAGCTTATTCACAGAAGTGAGTGCAAAAGTTTTTTGGGTCATCAATTTACTAATTTTAATTATACAAATCAAATAGCTGTCTTACTGTACTTAAATCAAGTCTACGTAATTAAAATTACAGTAACTGGTTTATTAACCACACTAAATTGTAATAAACTATTTAAATTTCAAGATCCGTTTTAATTTTATCTGTAAGGTGAAATTATTAGAAAGCTATTCTCTTCAGTACTGTGGTAAAAGTGATTTCCAAGAGTGGGGAAAAAGCAACTGCTGTGGAATTTGATCAAGAGTATACCCAAAGCTTGCGACTATTCTTTCCGCAATATCAGGCTCGAAGAGTGGGAAGTATGTAACTAAATGTAGAGGTCTGTATCTCCTCTCAGCTGCCTCTGCAGTCAGTGGAGATCTAGTCAGTGCAGTCAGGAATCTAGGACATGATTCATCTAATTTTACAGGAGAAATCAAATTAATCAACCCCTAGAAGCGTCTGTTTCTTCTCCACTGACTATAAAAGGAGCCTGACTAACTCAGTGGTGGATGTTGTTTCTGTAGGCATCTAAAATTAGGTGAGATAGATTCCACACTGAGTACGTGGTGCGAGGGATGGAATGTCTGTGATTATTGCCTAATTAGCAGTGGCTTTTTAAGTGAATCTCAAATAAGAAAGTTGGTGTAATTGTAAGGCTGGAGAAATTATAACAGGATTAGAAAATTACATGAGCTTCATCCACATTTCAAATGTATCTTGCTTTATTGATCCAAGTGTTGAAATTAGCCCTTTTATCTTCTAGGAGGTATGAGTTTGTTCCTATGGGTTTGTTACAATGACTCTGAAGTCTCTTTCAGAGGTCGCTCTTCCCTATGACAGTTCCCCCATGCTATACGGCCTGTAATCTTTGTTTGGGCATGTGGCTTCTCATAAAGTTTTTTTCAGTATAGCAAGCAAGGCAGGTAGTGGTGTGTCTCTGTATCTGTGACTTACCTTTATTTACCGCTTGTGTAATCCTTATCTCATTGACAAAAAATTATCAGCAATGATTGATTCTTTCAGGGCATTGACTTAAATTGAATAGTTACATGAAATAGTAATGTGACCTACTGTGTGAGAAACACCTGTCAGATCAGTATTCTTCATTTATACTTAAATTTTTAAACTTGTCAATAAAGTGATTTTTTTATCCATTTAATGTATCATAATGATTTTTCTATTCTAATTCATTAAAATATGTGTATAGTACTGTGTCAAATATATGGAAATAAGATTTGCTTTTGTCAACTAAATTTGTAATTACATAAAAAAAATAGCAGATTGCTTTTGCATATGCTGGTTGTTCTGAATTAAGTTTCCTTTAGACTTCTAATTCTGAGTCCTGGAAAATATGGCTTCATTTTTTGTTTGGAATCAGTGACATCCGACTGGGCTATAGTTGCCCATATCTTTCTGGTTTGTCCTTCAATACAAGCACAGCATCTTCAATAATGAACTCTCTAACCAGATTTTTAGATGTACGTTATCTGAAGTTGCTGGTCTAAGAAAGTCTAGGTTTTAAGAACTCCTAGAAATCCTCAGCTGAAGGGAATTACTTTGTTCTTTTCTGTACAAGAACTGAAAAATCTGCCACTTCCATTCAGGGAGGAGGTTCCTCCGTATTTCTCATGTTCCTTATTTTTATGTAAAAATCAGGAAAATACAATTGTATCATTCATTTGATGTATTTTTATTCATGTGATATTACAAATAAACCAACTGTAAACTTACAATAGCCTCCCTCATTGTTTTTCTTTATTGCAATAAAAATAAAGAGCTCGTGCAACTTCTGGAATCCTAACATAGCCGGGTTTGTTTACGGCAGTGTTGGAAGGGATCCTGTTGGACAAGAGAGGGTTTGCTCTGTGTTCTGTTCCTAAATCTATGCAGCCTTTTTAAAAAAAACTTATTAACAGTATCTAATATTCGTTGCTTTCCTTCCCCTAGATTGCCCACATTGCTGTTGAAATGCATGCTGTATTATCTAGAGCACGTCTCATTATTGCTTTTTTCTGTCTCTTTTCTTTCCTTCTGCTTTTCAGTGTACACGATTCTGTCTAAGGTGCACTCTGATCGGAATGTATACCCTTCTGCTGGAGTTCTTTTTGTTCATGTTTTGGAGAGAGAGTACTTTAAGGGGGAATTTCCTCCTTACCCAAAGCCTGGTATGGGATGCTAAGATCTTCCATATTATATAAAAATGTAGGAAAAAAAAAATGTTAAGAAAAATTCAAGTTTATTTAGCATACCTTACAGTTCAGCATATAACATACAAAGGACAGTTTTTCATTTCTATTGAAATATCTTAAAATGAAATAAAATAAATGGTCCTACAAGCTTAAAATGTTCTGGTATGTGATCATCATTTGTGAAAAGATGCATATAATTGTGTGTTGTGAAAAATGTACTTAATATTTGGGAAGGCATAATGACGCGTTATATATCTGAGATTAGGGAGTATACCTTTTTTCACTTTCACATTATGTATGAAATTGTGGAAGTTTAATTATGTCTCTTAAAATGCTATTTATCTGATCACTGTTTCAGATGTAGTATGTATCAGGCTATATGAAGAAGCACTTTGAAAGCATATAGTAAACTTGAAACAAAATAGAAGATTAAATCAAATATGAGACTACGTAATGATGTTTTCTTTCATTTAAAACAAATGCTCCTTTGGATTCAGCCTTCTTCCAATATTTAGGAACAGCTTAACATTAGTAAGCAGTTTGATTTTGGAGAAAGACCTGTGATTTCCTAAGTGTGGTATTTTGATATACACCTAAGGCAAACCTAAAGGATTGATCACTGGCAGGTTGGGAAATGTACAAGCAAACTCGGAAGGAAGGGAAAACGAAAACATTCTGTCCCCCATGCTTATCAGCAATGAAAAGGAATAATAAATACATAAATATATCCTATTTATATAAATATAACTGTCCTATTTTCCTATAAAAATAGGAAAAACCTGTAATAAATGTACAGTGCACACATAATCAAAACCTGTTTCATTAATAAGCTTTTGAATTGATTTGAGAGTACAGTTTTCAACACTCACTTTAAAGAAAAAAATAAGCTTCTGTTAGCACTGGTTAAATTTTGTCATGAAAAAAACCAAATCTTTTAAAGATTTTCTCTCTTTGAGAAATGAAAGTTTTTCCTGACATGTATACCTGAGTTTTCATTTCATGTAACAGTGATTGGCAGAGTGAAGCTTGCCTCTGTCCCCGTTTTCTCCCAATTTTGGCACACAGATGGAAAGAACCTTGAAATTTTACTAAAAATGGATTGTCTTTTGAATGCTTACAGCCCCAGCCTCTCTTGGCATTCATGTGAGTCAAAGGCAGAGTGAATCTGACTTCAGATCGTGCTGAAATTTTGTACCCATGGATGATTGTGATCCTGCCAGAAGTTCACCGTAAAGCCAGCTGTTACCGTCATCCTTTTATTTTTGTCTGCTGTGCTGGATCGTTAGCATAGCCTGCCTTAATGAAGGGCAAACCAGAATGTATCACAGGTGGCTTTCAGATTTTCCCCAAAATCAGTTGTGATCTTGGGAGTTTTATTATGAATTATATTATTGTAGATTAAATTACAGGAAGAGAGAGAGAGAGAGAACTGCAAGGAAAGTTGCGTTACAGCCCGGTGCTGGTTTGGTGTGGTTTTGGTCCCTTTTACCTGCTGCCAGATGTGTAAGTGCATACCTGAAAACTAGTTACCCTTTGGCAACAGGTCTTAGTCTCTTTGTTCCTCTCTGGAGGAGATGACAGCCGTTCTTTCTTCACGGGGCTCAGTTTCTGCCTTCTGTGCCAGCCTGCTTGTCATCATCTCGAACCAGGACACTTGTCCTACAATTGCTGCTGTTGCCAATTCAAAGCCAAGTTGGAGGAGCGCAGTGCAGAGGTGTCTGCGCAGGCTCAGAGTGGATTTGCTTGAGTTCTGTGCCTCAGCTGGAAGGTGCTCACGCCTTAATGGGGATGATTTGGTAGTGCTTACAAAAGCTAAAATAAACAGAAGTCGAACCTGGCCATTTGTAAGAGTATCGGTAAGAACCACAAGAACTGTTATACTGGTTTAGCTTTAGGGGCTTTTAGAGATTGCATCTGGACCACTGTATTTAGTAACTATCAGTGGATCCATTTTGCAGGAATATCTGGTCCTTTTTTGAATTAATTTGTTCTCTGAAAAAAACCTACTGTCAGGCTGTTGGTGCTGAAGACCTGTATCTATCCTGATGCTAACAGAAGCTTTCAGATCTTGATGATTACACAACCACGCTTTACAGGAAACCAGTGTACATCGGGTCTCCAGAGGCTTTGTTAAAAACATAAATAAAAGAAGGGGTTTTGGTGGAATTAAAGGACTGAGACCTTTGGGCTTTTGTCAAGAAGAAGGTTAGATGCTTCAGTTCTAGGTGGAACTGAGCTCTAAAAATCAGACCTACTAGTTAACGAGCGCAAGCACACAGAGTTAGCCAAGACTAAGTACAAGCACATATGGTGAAGGTTAGCAATTTATTTTTTTTTGCTATATGGAAATTTTTAGAAGATATAACTGGAAGACAGAATAAGATTTTTCTAGTGGAAACATCAATATCAAAGTATATAGTATTTTCTTGCAAATAATATAATTTTTCTTATCTAGGTGAAATAAGTAATGATCCTATAACATTTAATACCAACTTAATGGGTTACCCTGACAGACCTGGATGGCTACGCTATATACAAAGGACACCATACAGTGATGGAGTGCTGTATGGCTCACCAACTGTAGAAAACGTGGGCAAACCAACCATCATCGAGGTATTTTCTTTTAAAGGTTCAAAAAGTTTTATTTTGCTTTAGAATATAAGATTCAGAATTGTCAACAAGCATTGCCTCTTTTTTTGAGAAGTTCTTTTTTTAATTGTAATTATAAGGCAGGGACAAGAACTTGTGACATTAACATTTTCTCTTAGGATACCATTGTATCCTCTTTTGAGAGAAAGCCAAGTTGTGTGAGATTTCATATTTTACTTTTAAGGTATAACTAATATGTAGTAATAACCATGTAAGCTTAATATTCCTAGATGAAATAGCTTTAGATTCTTGCCCTTCATCATTCTGAGAGGCATTTCATTTCAGTAAGTTACGAATATATTAAAATTGTATTCAAAATATAGGGGGAAAAAACCCTTCGTAAAGAACTGCACTTGAATATCGGAATTCTGACCTGTGTAACATTCTATACTAAATATGGGCCATACTTTTCCCCACTGGAAAATTTAGTATTCAGTCAATAAACGAGGCTTTTAGGTTTGTTTTTTTAAACTAAATTATTTTTCATCAAATATTATCTGATTTATTATTCATGTTTATTGATAGCATTAATTAGCACTTACATGTATTTAATTCTAGACTCTAGTGTAACGATGACAAAACCCACTCATTTATTTTTGACAATTAGCTATACAAATGTGTAAAAGCACCAATTATTCCTTGAGCGGCAATTGAAAGGGAAAAAGGACCGTATTTTCCGCCATGCGTATCATAGACAGCAGACTGAATCAGACACTGTGGTTCACAGTGTTAGGGAAAATCTGCTCATTAACTTGCTCCAACCATTCTACTGCTTCAGCAGTATATTTGTCTTAAATCCTTGATGAGTTTCTTTTTTTTCCAAATTGTACTTGATATAGTTGTTCTTCCTCAAGAATGACGTCTCTAAATGTTAAGTTGTACTGTAGATAATTCCACCCATGCTTAATTCTGTATACGTGATTCAGTTTTGATTTCAGCAGGGCTAATCACATCTGTAAAATTAATCATGTGCAGAAGTGCTTGCAGATTCCGCTTAGCTTTCTGTAGAGGAAAATGTTACTTTAAAATGCCCTTTTTTAAAATGGCATGTGCTTGTAGATTCTAGGATCTATATCAAGACCTCCATTATAAGCATGACCCCACACCTGTATTTGAACTACATCTTGCTTAGCATGCAAATTAATTCATTGCAGTCCCCTCTCAGATGTGGCTTTTAAATTAATTCTGTAGTATGTGAGGAGGGCAGATTGCGTTCGATCCACTTCCTAGTGCCGTGTGAGAGGAGTGGTTGCATATTCCTGGCCTGGATAAAACTTTCATCGTGTCATAATTCCTCAGGTGATGTCATGGGTAGGTCAGTTAACTGGAGGAGACCTCATGATTAGAAGAGCCTAACATTGTGCATAGCACTGCAGTAGAGCAGGTTACATTCTTGAGCTCGAGCTCCTTTGAAAGCTGAGCAAAGATGGTTTGTGTTTGAATGAATATTCAGTACAAAGGCAGTCCCCGCCACTGTCACTGCTGCTCCGTACGGGTACATGGGCCACACCAGCAGCTCCCACTGGTGGAGTGCGGAGTCGAAGTGGGTACTCTGGTGTTCCTGTACAGGGCTTACGTTTTCCAAGTATTAATGTTTAAAATGCTGCTGAAACAACCCTTTGAAAAGTTAACAGAATTGAGGATTTGAAAAATCTCAGGAGTTTATTTTCTATTAATTTTATAATGACATTGTTATATTACCTAAGATGTAATTGTGTCAGGTACGCTTTTCCCTCTACACTTAAATGAACCTACAGAAGATATTCCAGAGTATTTTTCCTTTTCATTTAAATCCCTTAAAAGAAGTGCAACATCTATTACTTTTGTTTGTTTAATGATCAATGTCACAGTGCTTCGTAGCTCTGTTTGCTGAGAAGCAACATAGTTCTGCCACTACTGCCATTCCTCTGCCTCTCCTTTGTCACTGAAATAAGTGAACTGAAGTCTAAAATTAGGAAGAAAGTTAGGCTTTGTCAGTTTGTTTCATGGAAGGTTTATACCCTTTCAGAAAAAAAAAAAAGTAGAGAAAATTAAAAATAATTATACTGATATCCAGCCTTATTCTGTATTTCTTATGAACGAGCACATAATCATAATACAACTCCTCAGTCACCACTGAGGAGTAACCACTTGTGAGCATTTCGGGCATACTATACGCTTAAACTATAAGATTGGTATCCTACATAATTTGATCATGAATCATAGAATCGTTTAGGTTGGAGAAGACCTTTACTATCATTGAGTCCAAATGTTAACGTAGCACTACCAAAACCACCACTAAACCATGTCCCTAGGCATCACATCTACATGTCTTTTAAACACCTCCAGGGATGGCGACTCACCCACTTCCTTGGGCAGCCTGTTCCAGTGCTTGACAACCATGGCATAAGCTTCCAAAAATAAGACTCATGAATGCTGCATCTACCTACTAGTTTTCAGATCCCCTACAGTTACAAATTCCATGATTTTTTTAAAAAGTATTTGTGTTGGAGCAATGCTTGTGGATCCATTCATGGGGTATGACTTCAGTGGGGCTAGAGCTGAAGCTACATCCCAGTCCCAAAGATTAGAACTGCTGGGATCCCAACACTCTTT